CCCCCCCCCCCCCCCTACAGAAACACGTCATATATCTGTCAGGAGAACTAAAAAAAAAAGTCGAGTATTCTACGCTTCTTAACAGGGCATATCCCTCGTTAAAACACCTCGCTGTTTTTTTCGGTACATGGAGTCCGTAGTGGCTGAAATGCCAGATTTGAAATTCCATCCCCCCCAACAAAAAATCCCTGAAAATCCTACCATGAAAACCACGAATTTTCAGGAAGGCCTCAAATCGATTTGGTCCTCGAACAACTATTGTGGGGATCATCATGTACATCACTGTTTCGAAAACGTTTTTTTATAATAATAATGATGAAGTTATGGCCGGTCAAAGATATGACGTCACACACTTGATAGGACTGTAGAACCTGAAATTTTGACACGGCATCTGCATGAGTACAACAAGAAACAAAAATGCGAAAGGTTATATCTCGAATGGGTAGTTTTTCTGTGAAGTTATTTTACTTTCTAATTGAAGCACTGCGCCATTTTATTTTATTTTCATGAGTTAGGCTGATATTGCTTATCACGGGAATATTTGCTATGCGAAAAAGTTAAATGGCGCTGGCTTGTTTATTTGTTTTACTCATGAGGATGCCGTGTCGACATCACAGGTTCTAATTCGAAAAAACCGCGTGGGAATCGCGTAATCCACACATTCTCTCAGGTATCTTGTGTGCTGTATCGGATTCTTTACGAGGCCATAACTTCTTGTTTATGGTATATTATGACTATAACAATCAAGCATTGGATGCTGACAGAGGAGAGCAGAGCTATTCGACCACTTCATGGTTTTCAAGGTATGCAGGCGTACTGGGGCATCCCGGGGACAATATAGGACCCTTTTCCGCCCCACCTTGCACCCCACTTTCATCACGCTCGCATACGACAACCGGGGTGGAGCCCGCTGTCGTACTCGCAGGGCAGGACCACACCATCACAAGGGAGGTTATTTGCCAGGACAGCGCGGGATTTATTCACGGTGAGTCCTGTGAGTCCTTGTGTCATGACCTCGTGATGGCAAGACCCCCGGGGTAGGTGCGAGCCGAAATCCGACTACCCCGCACGTCGCAGGCGGGTCTGTCTCGCTGGAGTCAGGGCACTTCTTGCCGTCGCGTGTGCCGTCAGTACATGTCTCAGGCTCTCTTGGGAAGAAATCCGTTTGGAAAATGGTCTCGTGTACGCAGATTACTCGCCAAAAATGGGGATAATAATCTCACCCGCCAGCGAGGGGCCCTCCCCCAGAGGCAGCAGCAGCAGCAGCAGCAACAGCGTTTGTTTTTGGTTTTTAAACAAAAAATGCATGCGCATGTTTTTCGCCTTGGATGAAAGTCGGGCGTGCGCAACGCCAGAACATGCCGATGACGAACAGACCAAGCTTATGGTTTCCAGCATATACTCGGGTTCAACCTTGATGCTGTTGTGTAGCGACCACCGAGTCCAATTCAGCGGTAGACCGAAATCTCCAAATTCGCCGCCGCTGCCAGAGGCATGTGGTGGCCCTGGCTATGGCTATTCATGCCGCACGTGTTTCCAGATCGGTGGCGGCCTCGCTCTTGAGGTATAGTAGTGGAATTAGTTCTACCTCCCGTGAGGTATGGTCCGTTTCCGGAAAAATTCACAATATTTTCCCCTGCACAAAGGTGCACTTTTCTCGGGGTGGGGGTACTTACTCCGAAATCTGAAAATACCGTGTAAATCGACGTTTCAAGGCGCATCTTCGTACGGAGCCTTTTCTTTTTTTTTCGTCCTTCGCTCGATATGTTCAGATATTCAAGAAATCTTGCTTACTTTCTGGAGGGCGGTGTTTTTTGCAGACACAAAATCTGAGACCGGATTTGGACAGCTCTCGTGATTTGCCACCGATGATTTTTTTCCGATTTCCAATTTGACACGAAATAACGGAGTTATGGGCAAAAAAACGGATATTGGAGGGTATTTTGCTTAGTTTCTTGGGGACAATCCAACCGTACGATTCAAAAATAAAGTGCTGCAATCGATTCCTCTCGTGATTTCCCACCGATGATTTTTTTCCGATTTCAAAAAAAAACTCGGTTTTTTGGAGATATTTCGGGTGGTTCCACACGCCCTCGGGGAATTTTTTCCCGCCACACACACACCCTTTACGCACGCAACGAAAGACGCACACGCGCTCCGGGCACATGGGTCGCCCAAAGGGTAAGCGCAAGCTGCCAAGGAACGCCGACGGCACGATTCGGAAGGCCCCTTCGCCCCCTGCGGACCCTGCTGTAGGCAACGACTCTCCTCCCTCTTCCGACCATGAAGGCGCCAATATTTCTCCCATGCACACCAACGACCACGACGACGACTGGCGCGATGAGGATGCGGGTGGCGAGCCAGGTCGCGGGCAGGCGAAACTGCCGTTCGGTTCTGCGGTTCGCTCTGCAGCGAGCGCTGCGGTGTCTGCAGCAGCTCGCACAGCAATGGCGGTGGCGCCCGAAGTCGCGCCGCCTGCGCGAAAAAACGCGGTGCAACCTCTCCACCGGTCGACGCAGCATCGCCACAGGCGAGCGCGGTGGAGCAAGGAGGACGCCGGGATGGCGGGGAGCTTGGCAGCATGGCTGAAGCCCCCAGCTCAGCAGCAGGAAGGGCAGCATGGTTCGCCTCAAATTATGGAGACTGAAGGTGCGGTGGAGATGGATGTTGAGGTGGGAGTTGTTGGTGCGGACAGCAGTGATCATGATGCCGAGAAGATCTGCAGCCCGCAAGAAGAACATGACCGCACCAGCCGTGGCGACAGCAGCGAGAGCGAGACCGACATGCTGGTATGTTCGGGTGTTGGTGTTCCGCTGGAAGATTGGTTTGGTGAGGATGACCAGGCTCGGGCTGCAGAGCTTCTTTATTCCAGCGGCGAGGACAGTTTTCTCGACGCACTAGACGCAAGCCGCGACCGCTCTCGCGGCCCCGGCGAACTTGACGGAGAGAGCGGCGACAAGGCTGATGATGATGTTCAGCCTCAGGACACCGGCGAAGCAGAAGCTGTGGGAGACACCGGCGAAACAGCAGCTGTGGGAGGAGCCGGGCACGCAGCCTCTAGCGGTACAAGTGGTGAGACCGTCCGAAAAAGTTCGAGGACGAACCTTTTCGACGGGCTGTACGCCGACCCCGCCCGCGCACGAGACGGGGCACGCAGCCGATGCAGTGGGCCTGGGCGAGGAACACGGGTGGCGTCGGGGGATGCAGCCAAGGGGAGGTTTGCGGGGTTGAACAAAAAACGATTGAAGCACAGAAGGCGCGAGGAGAGGAAGAAGACACCGGAACAACGAGCGCGAGAGCGAGAAGCGCGAGAGCGAGCGCGAGAGCGAACGCGAGAGCGAGCACTCAAAGCGCAGAGAAGGCGGGAGAACACGCCGCGAGAGAAGGAGCTCTTGGACATCTACCAGAAAGTGGTGGACGCTATCGACAAGGTGAATAAGTATGCAATGTATTTCAGAGTGTTGCGTGGTAGTGTTGTTGCCGTTGATTAGTTTGCTGCTAGCATACTGCTTCCCTCGTGGCTGCTGTTTCCTGTATCCTGGATTTGTTGTGGAGCTAGTGCCACTGCCGAAACCATTCCTGCTTGTCTGTCAATAATAATTTGCAACTGTTGAATGCAACCATGTCCCTCAATCTGACGCCTTCCCGGTTTTGATTGCTTGAATTTCAATTTCTGTGCACACCTCCGTACAGGCGGAGCAGTCCAACAGCTACAGCGGTTTTGTGGAGGACCCGACGGAAATAAATGCTGACGGAATCTCGTCTCCCGTCCATCATGCGTACCGCCTTGGTGATTCGGGCGTACGCTGTCCTCGAGTAAGTGGAAACGCCCAAGAAGCGCCGTGTGCTTGCTGCTCGCACTGCTGCATTTCTGCTCTTTGAGATCGCCCTTGCCCTCTGGTTCGTGGCGTGCTCTGTACATACATACAATGTTCCCTGGCGAAGTGGTTGCCGAGTAGCATGTGTAGCT